AAAAACTACAAAAAATATAATACATTTAGAGGTCTAACTACGAGTAACCTAAGAAAAAGATAAATACAAAGACAATACTTATAAAATATATAATAATATAATATAATAATATAAATTAATTTTCTTAAATTAATTATAGTAATTAATTATAATAATTAACGTTAACTCTTTAATATTTAATTATATTTATAATAAGTCTTAAGTTTTTAAAGTATAAAATAAGTTATATAAGTCTTATTTAAGTACTTAAAAATACCTAATATTTTTAATAAATAATTATAGGTACCTTATTTTCCCATATAGATCCATTTAAGTCTTTTTTTCCTACCCATACCTACCCAAAGCCCACGGGTAAGCAACCCACACGGGTACCCGTAGACCTTTTACACCCTACTTGGAATGACGAGAACAATTTCTTCATGGTCATGGAGCACTTCAAGGATGTCCATGTATGCGGAGAATCTCTCCCCGAGGACGATTCTCATGGCGCGACCGGGGTGAACTGCAAAGATGATGGCGTCAAGTCACTTCATCTTGCTCAGCAGACCCCCACGGTCGCCAAGTCCGAAAAGAGACGCTTGCAGAATCGCAAGGCACAGAAGATATACAGTAGGTTAATTTTCCCGCTTTGTTGAAAAGCAACACACGAGACCCTTTCTAAGGACTGTTTTACCATCCAGGATTGAAGCAGAAACAGCGGGTGCAAGAATTGGAGTCGCTAGTTGGATCGCAGACGACGACTCGCCAAGACTCAGATGTCAATTATTACACTCCTTCTTTGGACGGCAACGACGAAGCTTTGGCTACTTTATGCACTGCAGAAGCCGTATCAAATGTGGTGCCACCTGGATTGGTACAGAACCAAGGCGCTGATGTGGACGGCTTCAGCCAAAGCATCGTCAATTGCTACCACAGCGGTCAGCGGTTTGTACATGACGCCCAACCATGCGCGCAGCCAGAAGGGCAGTCCATATTGTCACATCCACCCGACACATCAGAGCCTACATTTAGTCGCAATTTTTCTCCGGTGGCTGCGCATCTGTTTGACGATGCCGGCGGGGGGTTGCCTGCCCAATCGTTCCGACAGACTCTGGCTCTGAGCCAAGACCTTGTCCACGACATCCGTGAGAAAGGTGCTGCATTAAGCGATGTGCTCGCACTTGGGCTTTAGTGTTTAAAAGAAACCTCACTTAATACGAGCGAGGCTGACAGTGAAACACCAAGTAGATCGCTGATATAGCACAGGGAACAGAGTATATCACACCTCCCACAGCCAAGTAAGATCTTGTCACGCCAACATTACAATAAGAGTACAGGTTCACCGTAAATGTGCCTCCATTTATGGAGGTCGTGATGCCGGTTTTTAGAGGTCGGGTCCACATTAGGATACCGCTTTTAGAGGATAATTTACAAGGCGCTTAGACGGACCTCTGTCAGCCCCACACACTATGTTAGCCTTGGCACCGGGGCTCTATAAAACACGGCGCTTACGTTATTATGATATTTAACTAGGACCTAACCCCTTAGCCTAGCTATTAAGGTGAGTTCCTAGATAAACCCTTTTATTATCCGTTAAAATATAGCTATAAAGAAAAGATTACTATGCGTTTAGTATCCCGTGAAATACTATTAATTAAAGTGTATATAGCTTACTAAATATAATACTATACGAAAATAATATGCTAATATAATTAAAGTTAATATATATAGCGTTAAGATAAAATAAATAAGGTAAGCGGTAATTTGGTAACTTTATAATGCTCGTATTTAATTCACTTAAGTATTACGATTATTTATATATTAACGCGGTTAATTATCTTAAAAATACCTTTAAAGAAGATATTATAACTTTTTTAAAGTGAATATTAGACTTATATTATAGAATACGTAAAAGAAGTATAGTTTACGCGTATAAGAGAATTCTTTTTTAAGTTTATAGGAAGTTAATTAGTATTAATTTTAATAAAGAGGCTAATAAAGAGATTAATAACGTAAGTTTATTACTCTAGTAAAGTTCTAGTAGTCTTTAAAGACGTTTACTTACTTACTTATAGACTATAGTATATTAATAGATACCTTACAATTTATTACACACTTAATACTTTAATTAATAAGAAGCCTATAATAGATATTAATAATATTTACTTAGTATAATATTATTACTAGATTTACGATACTTTCATGTTTCTTAACGAATACTAAAGAATATAACTAGTACTCTTAATTCTACTATAAGCGTATATAGTAACGCGCTTAAAAGTTTTTTCATATAAAAAGCTAAATAAGAATATAATTAGTAATTATTATTTTAGTTTTAAAAATAAATCTATAAAAGTAAAGGATAGTGTAAATAAATAAGACTTAAAAGAAAATGACTTTAAGATAATTACCTATAGTAATATTAAGTTACTTCTCCTTAAAAATCTAAATAGAGAAAGAGATCTACTAGCAGAGCATTAATTGTAGTGTAGTTTTATAGTTTTATAGTTTTTATAGTTTTAAATTATTATTATAATTCAAGTATTTTATTAGATTTATTATTAATTATTTAAGCTTTTTTGAAAATTGAAAATGTAGTTTTCTTGTTAATGCTCTGTCTACTAGTAATAAAAGTAACGCTTTATTACACTAAAGATTAGAAGAGAAGAGAGAATTCGTAAGTAATATATAAACTACACTATTATTTATAATTTAATAGTAATTACATAGGAAAACATTTATTTTCTATAAAGTAAATAATCTTCTTTTTAATGCTATCCTTTATCTATTAGCTCTTACCCTATTAGATTAAGTATTTAAGGCTAATATATAAATAGTTTAGGACTTCTATAAGATAAAAGTCCTGCCTTTAAAGCGTTTAATTAAATTTTACTAGCGTAAGGAAATTAGAGATAAACCTATTTTCTAATAGGCCGTGGCTAATAATAGAACGGCTACAACATTTAACACTAAGGCACTTCGTTATTACACCTACCTATACTACCTATAGAGATTAGGGCTTGTTACGGGATTCATGCAGATCCTTAACCCGTATTACATTCGCTGAGGTTCTAGAGAAAGCGTTAAAGGTAAGAAAGAAATTGCCACGTACCTAGGTTATACTAACTAAGGTTACTAAGGGGTTGCTACGCAGGCATAACTTTAGTAAGTTATGTGTTATATAAACGCAGCTACCTACTAGACGTATATAAATTAACGTGTGTAGTGTAATACTATCATAGCTTTTCTTAGGCGTCTCTTAAATAAGGCTTTATTAAAGGTAATAAAATATATAAGCTACTATATTAATCTAAGAGCTTTAATTAATACTAGTTAAGTTAAGCTTAAAAATATTAAAATAAACCTAATATTAGTTAAATTAATTAAACTTTAAGATATTATAAGCTAAGAAGTTCGTTACGAATTAAGAAGTATTAAAGAAGTAAAAGCTAATAGTATTATATTATTATAAATTTATTATACCCTAGAAAATAAGGTGCGATTAATAAAAGCGTATCTACGAAAACTAGCTAAGGTAATAATACGATAAGACTTTTTTAATATTATTAATATTATTAAAATAAACTTTTAATTAAAGAATAAAGCTAGCTTATTTCTTAATCTTATATTAAACGCGTGGAATTTCTAACCTTATTATAATTTAAAGAAGTATTAACTACTAGTAAAGCTTATATATACTAATACATGTAAGTTAAATAATAAGATAAAGCTTAAATATCGTATTTATATTACGTATATAATAATTTACCTAGAAAGAGCGCGGGAACCTTAACGTATAAAGACTAAAGTTAAGACTAAGACCAAATAATTTCCTTTAACTTATAATAAAAATCAATGCTTTATTTACTTCTAGGACGAGCCTATACTACTAAGCTAAAGGTTCTATAGATTTTACTCTTCTTATTAAGTAAGGAATTACATATTATCTAAACACTTAAAACAGCTTAGTAAGAGGTTAGTAATATGCCTTAAGCTAAGATACTAAGATAATAAGACTACGTTTAATAAACTTAACTATTTCCTAGCACACTTAAAAAGGACTTATAACTATAACATTTTTAATAGATATAAAGGTTTAGGGAATATATAGATAACGCTAAAGAGTGATTTAGGATAATGAAATAGCAAATTTCGAAATTTTAGGGCCTGTATCTATAAAATTACCCTGGTGTCTTAGGTCTCTAACATACCAGGGCCGTACGGAGTAGATTAATTAGGTGTAAAACTAGCTAGTCTTAAGCGGCGATTTAAGATCTAGGGCTGTTTCATATACATAACGTTTATCTTATGGCAATTGCGAGATAGAAGGAAGCAAGAAGTTAAATTTATAGTAACTAATAATATAATAGAGTAAAACTAAAGCAAATTATTTTACATATAATATTTTACATATAACGTCTGAGATCGTGCACAGTTAAGAAATCCCAAGGCCACCCTAATTTAGCCTCCCTATTAGTCCGAGTAGAAATGTACCTACAGGTATTTAATAAATTAACTGGAATGCTTTAGAGAACTACTAAAGAAAGTTTCTTAAGCGAGAATTCAGCTAATAAACCCCTTTTACTATACGAGTATCAGCTTAATTCGCTAATTATTTAAACTAATAAATACCTACATTAATTTCTCGGTAAAGTCCCAGTATACCATAAGTAAAAGACTAGAATATTTTATGTAAACCCTTTAACGTTATTCTATTAATCTTTTTCTTAATAATTTATACCTAGGCGTTTTTGCTCTGGGGTCTATGCTAAGGGCATCCAGGTATATGTTATAGGCGACTATCGTTTACGTGTTTTTGCGTCTATTAAGAGCGCCTAGCTATATGTTGCGTTTACTTCTAATTCTAGACTCTAAAGCGTCTAGAAAATTTACTAACTAAAAGTAACTAAACCTAGCTAGTAGGCTCACTCTAGTGTAGCTGTTAATAACACTTTTAAGGGTATTTACAGCTATAATAATATGCGTACCTTAAATAGGTTTATTATTTAAAAGAGATATTATTTAAAGAAGAGTAATCTAGGAGTTAATAATCGTTTTCTAGGTGTTTAAAAAATCTTTTTTAGCGTTAAAATTAATAAATTTTCCGTAAATATCCCTATAACGTAATATATTATCTATTGTTCTCTCGGTATAATTATTAGTGAATACGGGGGTAAAGATTAGGTAAAGCTAGCTAGGTAGCATTAGAGAAAACACATTTCCCTGTGGCCCGGGGCTAGTAATATAGCGGAGTGGTATAGCGTTAGCATTAATTTGAGTTAACATGATGATTTAAGGACTGTACGTTCAGTTATCTGTTTTACAATCGTAGGGGCTCCATGGTCTTTTGTATTTGGAGCCTTCTCTTTATAAACTAATTGTCATTTCGCAAAACGCAAAAGCCTAGATAGAGTGCGGTGTAGTGATTTCTCATGGTGAGCCTGAATTCCCCGACTCGCACTGCTTTAAGCGATCTGTCTATCTTCTTCTCACATAGACGCTATAGACACTCTCCTAATTACGGGCCGCTGTAAATTGACTATTCAGTTCTCATTGCCGCTAATGGCACTGCAGCATCTAAATAGAGTTGCTAGGTAGCAGTGCAAATTGGGAGCTTCAGAGCCCCTGTGTACTTTCAAATTTCATTGGCGCTAGGGCCCCCAATCATGGAGCTTCCGGAGGCCTCTTTCACTGGCGCTAAGTGAGCTAACAGGATCGCTAACGTATAGCATTCGCAGTGGTTAATACTCTTAGAATTATTGTAAACTACGCGGAGATTAGCAATCCTATAGGGTAGAATTCTTCTTAAAAAGACTAGTCTATAGCTAATTTAACTATTCTCCTCGTGCCTCTCACACACTTTTAATTTAAAGTTTTACTAACTTATATATTATTAAATAAATAAACGATAATCTAATATACACCCGATCCGTGATTTATTCGCTAGTGTGTTGCTTCTCGCTGCTTCTACTCTAGCCTACCGAATTAGCTACAAAGATAGCCTTTTATTTCTACCCCTATACGATATGTAATCCTGTGGTTAATCGGCCCTTTAGCTTCTAGTATATAATCTGTGGCTTTAAAAAGTGCTATATAAACGTTTACTAACTTTATTAGCACACGCTTATAAGCTTTTATAGTAAGCGCCTAAAAGGTTAAATTATCTATATTACGAGAGTTCTTTCTATTTATTGCATTAATAGGTGCCTAGAATAATTATTATAACTCTTATATAAAACTCTTTACTATCCTTAAAAAGATTAATAATAGTAATACTAATAGCCTAATTATATTATTCTATTTTTCACTAAATTGCCTTAGAGTCTAAATATAGCTTCTTAAAGTTCTAGAATTTAAGGCTCTATTTAAGAAGCTAAGGTATATATTAATTACCTAAGTTTTATTATATTTATTATATTTAGCTATAATTAAACGATTTAGCCGATTATATTAAATATATTCTTTAAGCGCGTTTAAAAATAATAATAATTAAATATAGCTAAACTTTAAAGGTAAGGTTTTCTCTTTTCCTAAGATAATATAATATAAAGTTAAAGCCCTTAATTCTAGATTAAGCTTAATCACCGTAATACGCGAAGGGAGAGCTATTATTTACACTAGTAAAGCTTAAGTAACCTAGGTAGCTTTTTAGTTTTAAATAAAATACTAAACTAGGTTCTTTATTATAAACCTTTAAATAAGACTAAGGGTTTAAACCTATAACTTTATCTTACTTCTCTTCCCTTTACTTTATTTATAACTATTACTTAACTTTAATCTTGCTTTAAGTCTTAATAAAACTAAACTAAAAGGCTAAGTAAACGTAATAGAAACTATAAAGAATTAATTCTCCGCTACTTATATTAGCTTAAAAGCATATTTAAACGTAATAATATATACCTATATTAAAGTTTTTTATAATAGTATCTCCTTTAATATTAATTTAAGCTTTATAGTATAAAATATAGTTCAAGTAGTAATTTTATTTTATTAGGCTTAAGGTAGCCTAAAAGAGCTTATACCCTAGAGTATTTATTCTATTATAATCTACCGCCTTTATAATAGCACGAATTAGCTTCTCGTATAATAATAATTAAGCAAATAACCTATAAAACTCGTTAATTAAATCGTTTACTATAATTACTACGTTTTACTACTAGTTTAAATGCGTATATAGGAATATATATACGAAGATTATTTTCCTAGATTTTATATTTTAGAATGAAAACCATTTATCAGCCACCTTAGAGTGTGAGGTTAGAACGAGACTTTATAGTGTGCTACTTAAATAAACTCTTATTTTTAATAATAACAGGAACCCCCGTCTCTTATTCGTTCTCCGTTCTCCGTTTTCCATTTCGCTCAGTTTAAAAACAAATCACAAATGCGACATATAAGTCAGTAAGATAATAAAGTGCTTTTCAGCAAGAGAATTCAGAAGAGAGGTGCTCTCGCGAATGGCCTGTACAGTATTGTAATCGCTGCAAAAGGTGCTGGCCGCAGCGAAAAGCGTAGCTGCAGCGAGAGATGCTGCAGTGAAAATATGGTGCTGCAGCGAAAAATGGCGCTGCAGTGAAAAATGGTGCTGCTGCAGCGAAAAATGGTGCTGCTGCGGCGAAAAATGGTGCTGCAGCGAAAAACGATGCTGCAGTGAAAAATGGTGCTGCTGCGGCGAAAAATGGTGCTGCAGCAAAAAACGATGCTGCAGTGAAAGATGCTGCAGTGAAAGATGCTGCAGCGAGAGTTGCGGCAGCGAGAGTTGCTGCTGTACTATTTATGGCTACGACCCACCAAATTAGCCGCCATCCAATTGAGCCCCGCTGCGGCAACTTGGACCCGGATCACTGTAGTCTTCTGACATTCAGAATGTTTGGTCACGAAGGAAAGACTTCAACTCCCCCGGTGGTACTCAAAAGTTAGGAACCAGTCAATTGAACTAAATTTGCGATCTATGGATGCTTAGATAGGGAACACCGCACTGTCACCCAGATTGTGACGGCAATCTTTTATAGCTTGATTTGCAATGCTTTCCAAGGCATCATGTTTGACAGAGAAGTCTCTTCTGTATAGTTTTGTCAAAAATTATTCCGTAACTAAGAAATTCGTCGATACATACATCATGCTCTCTGCTTTTTCTGAGTACACAACTGCCAGAAATAAAGACCCACCCGTCATCTTGTCCAAACGCTTACCCCATCGCGAGCGAAGGCCGCTAACAGCTTCAGGAGTTTGCCCTTCGACGGCCTTGAGGTGCAAGTGACGTTTGACAGTGGAGTTGTCGTGACCCCGACGGGCATGAATATGCCCATTCCGCTTCTGACGGTTGATAATCGGGTTAAGTGATGCCAGAATTCTTGCTAACCGTATGTAGGCAAGTCGAAGCTTCCAGTAAGCTTGATCCGTCAGAGATGATCTGGTCCACCGTTCGTATAGCGGCTAGGACATCATCAATGGTTGTGTTGGCGCCTGCCACTGACGTATCCAGGCACAGCTTGGCCCAGAAGCCGTGTATTTCGGCCAAGTTTGCTTGGAAGAATGAGTACGGGTGCGGAAGAATTAATGGGGCGAGTAAGGAGTGCTGCTCATTGCAGATAGGGTCGCCTTGAGAAGACGAGCCGCCAGTGTGTCCTATGGTTGTGAGAGAATCCATGTTTGCGCTATGAGGTTTGCAGTATGACAAAACCATCCTCAGCGGCGGGGGTTATATAGCTAAAAACTGCTGACCAGGTCATATTTTCTTTGCATTCAATAACTATCTTACTTCACAATAATTAAAAATAAGATTGTCTGGTAACTAACCGATAGATAATATCTGGCGTTCGACGGACGGGGTTGAAATTTTGGCAGGACGTATGTACTGGGAAGCCAAGGAGTACATGGTTACCTGGATGAGCTGTCTTGGTCTGGATTTATTTTTAAGATGGATGTATTCGATACTTAGACGTACTTGTGGGGATGGATGGAATTGCGGGATGCCGGTTATAACAACGTATTATCTTTAACAGATGCACTGTATTTCTTTTATGGGATGTACCGATTTCAAGGGTGGAGGTATTTAGTTCGTAGAGGCTACTTGTCAGATAGATGGTCTTTGCTAGTTGAAGTTTAGTTTGGCGGGCGGATGTACCCCGACCTTGAGAGGTACATTCACTACGAATAGTCGTAGCCGCCGGGATGAATCACGCACTACATCCCGGAATTTATGCTTAATCGTTGAGGGAGTGTCGGTGGTCATCACCACTTAGAAGTCGACTTTGGTGGGAGACAGTGACTAATGGTCCCTCATTGCTCCGTTACCTGACTTCCAGAGCAGCAGCAGGTGATGTTGACATTTGTTGCGGTATTGCGATTCTTTTGAACAAAACAGTTAGACGTACAAATAGCCCTTCATAATTAATTAACAAAAAAAAATTACAGGTGAGGCCAGATGTTATGGCAGCCACATTCGCGTCACAGTGAATGATACTATAACGGGCAGCGCCAGCCGAATGGAATGAGTCGATCGCCTTTCGGGGCTGCAAACTTGCGGGCGGTTACTAGTAATGATGCTGTTGCTATGGCTGGGCCGGTTAGCGGTGGCCAGAACAGTTGGCGGTGGGCCAGACTAGTTGGTGGTGGTCTTTTAGTTGGTGGTGGCCAGAACAGTTGGAGGTGGCCGAACCGCCGTACCTCTTTGCTCTGGCTGGACCAGTTGGCTATGGCTGGACCATTTGGCTATGGCTAGACCAGTATGACCGATCGATCATTCACCAGGGCAGCAGAAAAACACTGCCTAGGCTCTGCTTGCCAAGCTCGATTGGATTGCCAAGGTGCAGCGCCTAATGGTGCCTAGGCTCCGCTTGCCAAGCTCGATGGGATTGCCTAGGCTCCGCTTGCCAAGCTCGATTGGATTGCCAATGTGCCACGCCTAATGGTGCGAGCCTGGGCTATCCGAACGCATTTTCATAATTATCTGTCGTAACTAACGATTTTTCACAGCGGCACTTTTTAGGATGGACGACTGGGATGTTCCTCTTTCTTGACGCTTTGGTGGAGACAGACAGGGTCCTCAAAGCGCCATAGCAAGGATTTAAGCGCCGGGAGAGGAGCGTGAACTAAGATAATCTAGCATAGAGTCACACATTCCTTCGCACTTTTTTTCTACGGCTTTGCACAAGTCTATAGGCCAACCTGTCGTGTAAATGTTAGATTCAGCTTATGCGCTGTAGAGATAGTTTGCACCTTTGCTCTGGGGCTTCGCGCAAGTATGCGGTGCCGACCTGTAGTGGGAATGTTTGAATCAACTTATGAGTAGCAAACTATGTAGTACTGAACTTTGGAATTTTGGAGGGCTTGTGACACTAAAAGATCACCAGCTCCAGGGCAGGCGTTCGCGGGGTTACCAGTAACTTGACGGTGTAGTGCCTAGCCCTAGCGGGAACTAACTGGTTTGGCTACTAGTCACTCTAAGGTGCACGGTGTCTGCGACTGGTAACTAAGATTCGACTAGGCATATGACCTTGGTAACTAGTAACTCCGATAGAGGGGTTACTGGCAAGAATTAGGGACTGCCTTAGCGGTTACTAGCAGTTATAAGAGCTTTATTACTAGCGAATAAAACTTACTAGCACTAAACGTGTAGTGGTTACTATTATTCTTAAGCTACTAGTACCTTACTTACCCGGGTTACTAGCACACTTAAGGCACTAGTAACTATCAGAGCATTAGAAGTAGTGTAGTTTTATAGTTTTATAGTTTTTGTAGTTTCGAATATAAAAAATTATATTAAATCTAATAAAATACTTATAGAATTATAGGTTTTACGAATAACTAGCATAAATCTAAAATTAAAAGCTTATAATAAAAAAGTGGGTCCTTATATACTATTATAAGCCTGAAACTTCTAAACTACATTTTATAGTTTTTGTATTATAGTGTAGTATAGTAAGTTTTTAGAAAACTATATAATCTAGTTTTTAAGCTTATAAAAAGCTAAAGGGACCCACTTTTTTAAATAAGCTAATTAGCTATAATATTAGCTATTTTATGTATTTACTATTATAATTCAAGTATTTTATTAGATTTATTATTAATTATTTAAGCTTTTTTAAAAAATGAAAATATAGTTTTCTTGTTAATGCTCTGGTAACTATAATTAGCTAATTACTAGCACCTTTAAGCGACTAGTATTTAGTGATAGTTAGGTACTAGTATTAGAGGCTTTAAGGTTACTAGCAATGTTAAGTCTACTACTCTGCTAGTTAGGAGTTAGTAATAACTCTAAGGGTTTAGTTGCTGGCAATAACGACAGTGTTGTGGTGCCTCCTGCGCCGTCTACGGCGCTAGGTACTGGTAACCCGACCGCTGTGCAATTTTGATCTACTGCGTGTTAACGCCTGAATGTTGGTATCTGATTGCCGTCGCGTCTCGGTACATCACTGTTCACTCACGCATTAGCAGCTCGAGAAATCTCAAATTTGTGTGAATACTCATACATCTGGAACTAATGTATTTAAATGGAAAGACTACTACTGCGATAAATTATTATTGATCTAAATGAAAGGACGCCTGAGGATCCTCAGACACGGTCGTTATATTATTAACGGTTAAATCGCTAGGCAAGTCACCTCCCCATGAGATTTAAGCTTAGAAGCTTATCGTTAACCCACGTATTCTCCTTAGTCGGGCGATTATACTAATATATAAGGCGTTAACGCTTTCCTACTCTTACGCGAGTTCTTAAAATATTTATACTAGCGTTTAAACCTTATTAGCTTACCTTAAATTCACTAAGTATTCCTTTATTTATAATATGTTTTCTTAGCTCCCACGTTATAATAGTATTAGACTATTCTACTAGGAAAGTGTGTTGCCTCTATTAAGTAAGTAGGTAACTTATACGGTAAATATTAGGACAAATACCTGGGATAGTAGCCTAGAGAGGCATTATCTTTTTCGTACGTTAATTTAATTAGTTCTTATTAGTTTTATGCCTTTTATCCTTAACTTTATTTAATAGCTAATAATCTTTTATAGCTAGGCCGTTTTAGTAAGTTAATGCTCTTTATAGAGTATTACTAGTAAACTATAATTAAAACATTATGGTTCTATTCTCTCTATTATATTTTAAAACTATATTAGCAAGTAATTATTCCTTATAACTCCTAATACTAGAATAAGCTAGTCCTTTATTTATATTAAACGTGTTATAGTAGGCCTTTATTGTTTCTTTCCTTAATAAGCGTGGTTTTTTACTTCGTAATAGCTCTAACTCGCCTTACTGTAAGTTACGCTTTCTCGGTTAAGGTAATATAACCTTATAACGTTTTTAGTATACCGTATACCTTTCTTTTCCCTCGTCACGGTTTTCTTCTCCTATAAGTCGCCTTTTAACCGGGAGAGAACGAAGATTATACGCTTTTCTGTAGCTAAAATAACGAGATAATAGCTTTATAATTTTTCCGTAAGTTTTATTAATCTAGCTCACTTTATACTAAGCGTTTATGCTTATCTAACGCCCTTTAGCTCACTCTAGTCTTTTTAATAATAGGCTAAGGTAAGAAAGTAGCGGCAAGCTATTATCTACTACTTAGAAGTTAGTATTACTAATTAGCTTCCATGGAATTTCCTTTTAGGGAGATTAAATAGCATTTTAATGGGAATATTTTAGTCAAGTTTAATTAAACTACCTAATATATCTTGTTATCGCTTTATAGCGCTACTCTATCTATACGCCCGTAGTTATTATTAATTATATAACTTTAACCGCACCAGTTTAACGACTATATAAGGTTAGTTGCGAACGAAAGACGAGCCTAGTAGGAAGAGTCTATATACTACTAGTGTAATACTATATTACCTAAAGGTAAGATAGGGGCAGGCTACACTAAGGTATATTAAAAAGCTACTAAGATTATAAAAGACCCCTATACTAGCGTAGGTAACATAGGTCTTACCGTATTATCGTGATTTTATATTACTAGATAAACTAATAGATTAGGGTTAGTAGTACTCTACGAGCTCTTAGGGATACTTAAAGCAAAAAACATCTTTATAAGCGGGTTTAAAGCTAATAGATTAGAATTCTTAGGAGCCTTTAAAACGTAAAGCTCTTATATTAAACTCTTTAAGTTTATGTTAGCTAATACTATACCTTAAAGCTTAGTTTATAAGTGCTTACTAATATTCTTCGTTAAAACTCTATTTCTATTAACTATAAATACTTAAATTATAAAGATAAAAGAAAGCGAGTTAATAGAAAGGTAATTATATACTAAGTTAATACGCGAGACACTATATTCTATTATTTTATCGTTATTATTTATACCTAAATTAAAATTAAACGGGATTAATATCACGTCCTTTAAAGTTTATAAGCAATTAAGAAAGAAATAGGCTCTTATAGTTTATACTATTATATTAGTATACTATATAGTAGGCGTCTAAGAAAGCTAATAAGGTCTAAGCTAATAGGTGTTAAAGTACCTAATATTAGTTAGACTGTTTATTTAACGTAATAATAAGATCTAGGGACTCTACTTACGCTAAAAGGTTTATTAGAATTCGTGGTATAATTATTTACGCGTTCTATAAGTTAAAGGTAGTAAATTTATAAGAAATGATAAAAGTAAAGTTAAAAAGTTTACGTAAAATCTTAAAGAGTAACCTCTT